CGCGCCGCGGTCGAGGGGGAGGGGTCGCTCTTAGAGGACAAAAGTCACGCAGAGATAACAGTGGGGGCGGGGGTCTATTATCTCCCAAGAGCCCAAGACCTGTATCTCTCGGCTACCCCGCAGTCTGTAATTTTCAACACTGGAAGAGCAACTTCAGAGGAAGGATCGTGGGTTGTTACCGTGTCTTTGAATCCTAGTCTTGGTATAAACATAGCTTTTCGGATCGCGCAGAGTAGCCATCAGTATAGGTAAAATGTTTTTAAATTCTTGAATTAACCCGGCAGACACGATGAACTGGGTATTGTAGATTTAGAAATCGAAGAAGCCGTTTTTCTAAGGAAACTAAATTCTTAGATTAAAAAATTTGAACGTCCAGCTAGTAGTTGCAAGAAGATCTGAAAAGAACTTGTAATTAACTCTAGAACGTGTGGCTGATGTAAAGGGGACGGGTTTGCGATTGGCATTCGATAACATTTGGTGGAACTTGTGGGTTTGGGTTGGGAGGTAAGTATTGAGCAGCTGGAGGTCAGGCGAGCCTGTTCGCTGCAATCTGTAGCACTAGGGGCGCAAACAGCAAGTTTGAAGCTTTCTCTCACATCCGTTTTTAAAATAAAAGGCTTCCTAGAAGTTCTTATCTAATGTATGCGGTGGGCATTAATGTTACTGTTTAATGATTCATGGCTGCTAGTAAGAGTCTGTGTACATATCAGGAACGGGTTTTAAGCTTTCATCTTATAATGGTTGAAGCTACTTATCCAAATCTCCAAAACTTAAAGCCAAATGCATAGTGATGATGCAGTGTACTGCAGAGAGCACCGAATCAGGAGTTTTGAGGCCTGGGTCTTTGACCCCACTCTGTAGTTAACACTATGACTTTGGGCTGGGGACTTTCACTCTTCATCATAAATGTGCTCATCTATAGAATGAGTCAAGTTCTTCCTAACAAAAATCCTGGGAAGTATAAGAATTCACACAGGCCTCTGTTTTAGAAGTTGCCTGTGCAGTAACTATGACTAAGTTGAATGAGTTCTATCTTTTTGCATAACCTTGTATGCTTTATATTGCTTTTTAAAAATCTTGGGAGGAAAGGTACATACCAACAGCTAGGAGTCTCAAATTCATGCTGCTGAACAGGGAAAAAGGTTTTAGGCTTTGCCTACCACAGTCTCTGTCACAAATTTTTCTTCGTTTTTTTGGTTTTTACAACCCTTTATAAAAACCGTTCTTAGCTCAGGGGCATACAAAATAGGGCCTATAGTTTGCCCCCCCTGCTAAATAATGGAAGTGGTAGTGTGGGGTATATATTCTCTTCGTATGGCTTTGGTCTGGTTAGAACTCAGTCTTTTTGTAGAAATAAAACATACCTTCAACTCATTTAGGAACTAAAATTAAGAGAAACCTCCCATGTTCTATTTTGGTCTTTGGGCTGGGGGAAACTGAAATAAACTGACTCATTTATTTAGGACTTTAAATGTATTATTTAGGATAGACAAATTAGCATTAATTAACGTTGGTTTGAAATACGTTTAATCCAATCCACTTATTTTCAGGTTTTGCTTAATTTTATTAACATTGAAAAAGAAATTTCTATTGCCCTTTTGTATAAAGAGAGAGCTTAAGTAGCATAAATATTCAGGATTCATTTACAAGTTGCAAGCTAGGAACTCCCTAAAGCAGAACTCTTACAGTAATATATCCTAAATAGCATTCTGGGTATCTTGAAGACAGTTTATTTAAAATTGGCTTAAGACATCTGATGTAAGACAAAGGGAAGGGAATGTGAACTTAATTCGATTAAGGTGGTTTGAGACTGTCTGAAAACAAAGCCCTTCATTGCTTTCTAAGTGGGAAACATTTGGGGAAACTCACATATAATGTTGAGTTGTCTACCTAGCACTGGGCTGGGCATTTCACAGCATTAAAAGGGTAAGAAGCTCTCAGGGACCTTCTAAACTGCAGGAATACACATGTGGTAACATAAAGCAGAATGTGAATACCATAGGAGAGATACAAAGGAAGTATGATCAGGAAAGCCTTCTTAGTTCAGGTGGACTTTAAGTTAGTGTGGAAGGAGGGCAGTGGGATTAAGAGGACTTCCAGGCAGAAAAAAAACATGACCAAAGTTGGAAAGTGTAGGAGCCTTTCCAAGGACTAGCAGATGTCAGCTTGTGCCAAAGGTAGAGTATGTTTTCAGGGTAGTGGAACATAGAATTAGACCATATTAGGAAGGACTCTAAAGAACAGATGGAAGATTTCATATTTCCGTAGGCAGTGGAACTCATTGATAGTTTTCGACTTTGAGTGAGGAAGAGTAGAGGCTGAGGAAGTAGGCTTGTGCAGTGGTCTAGAATGGATACTAGGTAATGGGCGTCCAAACCAGGGTGTCAGCAGAAGGATAGAAAAGGAGGGACTGGATGAGCAAATAGATCTGTGCTGTTGAAGGGCTGCTGGGTAGTCACTGTGTGAGGTGCTTTGTGAGATAATGTTTAATTGAGACCAGATTATCAAGGCTGGGTGGAGAGCTTTGAACCAATTGTGAAGATAACAGGTAGTTGTAGATATAAGAGAAATGACACATAAAAGCAGTGCTTTAGGAAGTCTTTAGGAGATCAGTGGAACAAGAGTCAGAGGAAAGAAATTGGAGATGAATTTGGGGGTTGATACTCTAAGTGCATATGTGAAGTGGACTGGGCTGTGGTACTCAAATACAGGAGGAGGGGGGCAGTGGTGAGAGAAATTATGTTGTCCTCCAGGGGGTATTTGGCACTGTCTGAAGACATTTTTGGTTGTCATAACTGGGGGGAGGGAGCAAGTCCTACTGGCATCTGGTGGATAAAGGGGAGAGATGCTGATAAACATCCTACAATGCACAGAACAACCCCCACAACAAAGAATTATCTGTCCCAAAATATCAATAGTAATAAGACTGAGAAATTCTAACTTGAACTCACGGTGGCAGAGGGACAGAAAATGCAGTAGAGATACAGTAGAGATTATGAAGGCAGACTTGGTGATATTTAGATGACATTAAAACGAGAGAAGAATAGGAAAAGGATTATTCTCTGTTGGACCCCACTCACAATTAGAAAAGGGCCTGGAAGAGGGCCTGATTTTTAAGAGAGGATGGTGAGTTTGATTTCAGGCTTTTTGAGATAGCAGTGCAATTCTCCAGGAGATAGTTGGAAACAGGTGGAGATTTGCCCACTGGAGTGCTTGTTCTTACAGTGAAGTTCAGGTGTTTGGGGCCTCTTCTTCCTTTATCGCCTAAGTATCTTGCTTGGGGGCAGGGAACAGATAGCTTCTCACACTGTGGGCATGCATCTACACATCGGGGCTTTGATTGATGGAGTAGTTTTCAGCATTTGTTAATAAAAGTCATGAGAAGGCTGAGTCATCTGGGGGAATGAGTCTGGGAACAAAGAACAGAGGGCCCAGAACTGAAGGAGGAAGGAGCTGGCATTTATTGAGTGCTTATTATGTTTCTTTTACCAGGCAAATAATTTTCGTGGAGGAATTCATTTGATCCTTGCAACTACTCTGAAGTGGATATTATTTTTGTTTTTTAACTAGGAACTTGATAGGCAGAGAAATTAAATAACTTGTTAGTGAATAGAGTCTCTCTTCTTTATCATTATTCCTTCCCACCTCTCAGCTCTTTCTTACTTTCACAGTTCATGTGATTGTTTTGCCCATAGTTCTTATAAAGAGTAGATATTTTAAATTATTTGATTTTGAGTTATATGGATTTTCTCCTTTACATAGTAAATAGTTTTATGTATGATGATGTCTTGAAACACAGGCACTTAAGAGAAATAGAAAGATTCTTGAAGTTGGTATCCTGGGCACACAGATAACATAATTTTACATTACTACAAGTATCAAACATCTTAAGGTATGTTCATTAATTACACTTGTTTTGGATTAGCAGAGTAAAACCTGTTTTGAGTTTAAGGATTTGTTTTTGGAGACAGTATGGCAATACACAGAGTGAATAGCTAACACTTTATAGAATTATGCTACACACCAGAAAGGAGCAGAACTCAGAGGAGAAAAATCTGTCTTCATAGGATTTAATTGTAAGGAATTTGCTGTCTGCTGTGCAAGAAAATATTCATTGATTTAAAAATTATCTTTCCCCCAGAAGTAGTTTATTTTTTAAAGATTAGGGAAGGTATGCTCTTTGCAATAACTAATAAGTATGTTTCTTAGCTTTTGCTTAAAACCTCTGTGTTGGGAAATATTTTAAAGCTTCTTACAGACTTCGAATGCATAATAACTTGATAAAAGTTTCTTTATTGAAGGTTATAAGCAATGTACCCTATTAATGAAGCTGAAAATATCTTTTAGATCATTTGTGTTGAGTAATATCTTGTTAGATTATTTGAATAACACATTAAGTTAATGGGAGAAAAGTGACAGGAATGAAACATAAACCATTTTGCTTTCTCTTAAAATTTGTTCAATTTTAAGAACTACTCAGTGATAGGATTAAAATAGGGAAACAGCCTCATTATGCGCTGAAAATGATAAACTTAATACAAATAAATGTCAGGTTTGTTATTCTGGAGTAGTGATTATTTTCATTTGTAATTTCTGAATCACTAAAATAATGATAAACTACAAAAGTAATCTTTCCTTAATTAGACACTTTCTTATACACAGTTGAAAAACATGCACTGAAAAAAGTCACACTTAATGGCTTTCTGTAGTGTTATATTTACTTTAAAATTTTCTCTTTCTTATATCACATTGTGCTAGTTTTGGTCTTTTTTTTCCTTAACCTATATCCCACAGTTAGAGTCTTAGTATTTTGGAAATTCATGCTAAGGATTTTGATGGAGCTATAAAAGTGCGTGAGAGGTTGGTACAAGGAGCACTAAATACAGGAGGCAAGTTCCAGTCCTGTCTTTAGCTAGCTTTGTGACCTTGAACAAATCACTTAATGTCTGGGTGTTAGTTTTCATTACATGAAGTGATTGGATTGGATTTTCAAACTCTAACCACAATCTTGAGAAAGTAGTGCACAGACTTGAAATTAGTTGCTTCATGATTTTGACATTGGAATTGATTCCTTTTATATTCTTTGGGAGATTTGAAGGGGAGAATCTCAAAGGGTTTTAAGGTCCATGGTGCTTAGCTCTTTAAGATATCTAGATGGCCAGTGAGAATTTTAAATGGAGGATAGACTTTGTATTTCCTATGTTTTCCCTCATATATGTTTCATTTTCTATAGTCTTTCCTGTGACAGGTGCATCTTCATTTGTCTTTTCCCTCCTTTACCTCTCTGTAAGGAATTTATGCTTAATGGGTTGTATGCATATAGGCATGACATAAAAATCAGGATGTAGTAAGTTTGGCTCAGAAATATTTTTTTAAGTTCATACCATATGCCAAATTTCATTGGGGTTTGATAGGACTTTTAGACTTAAAATATATATATGTTACATCTCCATTTTGTTTCAGGAATTGACTATGTTGAATTTGAGTTCATTTTGTTAAATGATGACACCAGAATTTATTAGATGTTGTATCTCCTTCTAACCTCTTTTAGGTTGTGGATTCCTTTGAGATTCTGGCACACACATTGGACATCTGCTTAGAAAACGTAGTTAAACAAAATTTTGCATACAATTTGAGGTTGCCAGCCTTCCCCCAACCTAGTCAAGCTCATCCCATGGACTGCTACAATAAGAACATTTTAAGGAAGAGCAGGCGAATTTGTGAAATGCTGAATGAACATAAGTCTTTCTTAAAGTTATGTATGTTTTCAATAAATACTTCTTCATGGTTACTGTTTATATTTTGGCTGTATATACAGTGGTGAAAAATCAGAAATCTTCTCTGCCTTCTTGGATTATAACTTTTGCTAATGTAAAAAGTGAAAAGAACTCTACAGTTAATAGAAAATCATGGGAGACTCTGGGGACCTACTTAGGTGTAAGTAGAGACATGGACATGGAGTAAGGGAGAAAATGAGATGTTTCACATAGAGGGAACAGCATGTGAAGGGCGTGACACTGAAGAGCTTAATGTGTTTGAGGAAATGAAAAGTTGGAACAATATGAGCAAGAGGGGAGAATGGCTGCAGGGCCTTGCACAAAGTGATAAGGCGTTTGGATTATAAAATACTAAAGATTTTGTTCGGCCGGTAGCATCATATGAATTATATTTTTTAAAGATTACCCTGCTGTATAGAGAAGAGAATACTGGGGCAAGCAAAAATAAATTGGCCAGTGGATATGCAATAGTTCAGGTAGGGGACAATGACTTACATTAGTGAGGTTGCAGTGGGAATGGAGTAGTGGACATATTTGAGATATTTTTAGGTGGTAGAAATAGGAGATCATGATAATGGATTGGATATGGAACTTAAGGGAGAGGGAAGAACTCGGGTGGGTGTTGCTGGAAGTTGCCATTATTGAATTGCTGGGAAAAGAATGTGTTTTTTTGAGTTTTTTGTTTGTTTTATTTTGATGGAGGGATAATAAGAATTTAGGAGTTTTCATTTGTCAATCTTGAGCTCTCAGAAGCCTGTGAGATTGTCAGGTAGGCCTCTATAAGAGAGGGTCAACAAATCTTGAGGAACTCGGGTATTTGACGTGGAGATGTCCATTTGAAGATTATCAGTGTATTAGTGATATTTAAAGCTGTGAAAATAGGTGAAATCTCTGAGAAAGAGACTGTGAGAGTAAACGATTGACTAGAAATAGAACCCTGAGGAATGCTGCACATTTTTAACTTGGGTAAACTGTAAGGTCACTAGGAAGGAGGCTTAAGAAAGACAGCCAGAGTGGCTGTAGGGAAATTGGAATGTATGGGGTCATGTCATGGATGCCAAGTAGTGCAAGTATTTCAAGGAAAGGATAATTAACTGTATTGAGTTTGGCTTAGAGGTTGAGAAGATGTGGGCAGAAGTAATGGCCATTAACTTTGGTAACCTAGAGGTCATCAGTAACTGAGATGAGCCAGTTTCATGGACTGGTAGAGATGGAACCCAGATTTAAGTGACTTGAAGGGGATACCTGATAGCCCAGGCCTAGAAATTTGGTGTGTAGATAGCTTTATAAAGAAGTTTGCCTATGAAAGGAAACAGATACCGGGTAGAAGATAGAGGTGTATGAGGATATAAAGGAAGTCTTTGTTTGTTGAATGTAAGAAATGCCGCAGCATGATTTTAGTTGTTAGGATTAATAAAAGAAGGAAGGAAAATGAGAGAAGTCCTTGAGAAAACAAGAAAGGTCAAAATCCTGACTGCACAGAGGGTCAGGTCTTTGATAGGAAATGGGTCATCCTCAATCTTAAAAGGAGGGAAGAAATAACAAATACAGAGGCAAATAGGCACATAGATTTGGTGGAGGGAAATCAGGATATTCTCGCCTTATGGCTTACTTTTTCTACAGACTGAGGCAAGATTAACACTTCAGAAGTGAGAAATAATCTGCATATGAAAGTAAGAAAAGCTGTAAGTGACAGTTCTCCTCAAATTGATCTACAGATTCAACAAAATTCCTATCAAAATCCCAGCAGGCCTTTCTGAAGAAATTGTCAAGCTGATCCTAAAATTTATACGGAAATGCAAAGGACCTAGAATAGCTAAAACAATTTTGAAAATGAGCAAAATAGGAAACCTACCCTAGCTAATTTTAAAACTTAACCATAATCTAAAGTAATCAAGAACATGTGATTGGCATAAGGATAAGCATGGAGATCAGTGGAAGAGAATTGAGAATTCGGAAATGACATTTATGTAAGGACATTTATAATCATTTGGTTTTTTAAAAAAGTGCCATGACAGTTCAGTTAGGAAAGAATAGTCTTTAACTGAATGGTGCTGGGACAATTGGATATCTGTATGTTTAAAAAATGGACTTAGACATGTTGTACTATATACTGCAGACAGTACACAGATTACATACTTAATTGTAAAATTTAAAGCTATAAAAATTCTAGATGATAACATAGGAGAAAATCTTTGTGACCTATGTTAGGCAGAATTCTTAGATGTGACACCAAAAGCATGAATCGTAAAAGAAAAACTGATAAATTGGACTTCATTAAAATTTTTTAAAACTTTTACATTTCAAAGGATACTTAAGAACATAAAAAGTTAAGCCACAGACTAGCAGAAAATATTTGCATGTTAAAAACATAATAAAGGTCTTTAATCTAGATATATAAAGAAATCCTACAACTTAATTATAAAGAAAAATTCAATTAAAAAATGGGCAAAAGACTTTAATAGATATTTTACCAAAGGAGATAATATGAATAGTCAATAAACATATGAAAAAATGTTCAACATTCATCATTAAGGACATACAAATTAAACCACGACGATATGTTGTCACACACTCGAGTGGCTATAGTTAAAAAGACTGACATGACATAGTATTGGTATTGTGGAGAAACTGGAATCTTTATACACAGCTCTTGGAAAAGTTTGGTTGTTTCTTAAAAAGTTAAACATGCTTACAATATGAACGAGCAATTCCACTCTTAGGATCTACCCAAGAGAAATTAAAACATGCAAAGAAGTGCATATGTCTGTTTAGCAGCATTATTCACAATAGTCAGAAATTGAAAAGTAATCAAAATGTCCATTATATGGTGAATGGATAAACAATATGGTGTATCCATACAGTGGAATACTGTTCTGTAATAAAAGGAGCAAGTCTGATAAATGCTATAACAAAGGTGAATGTCAAAAACATAAGTGACAGAAGCTAGACACAAAAGAGTACAAATTGTGTGGTTGCTCTCATGATGAGTTTCTTTTCTATACTGAAATATTTACAGTATATTTTTTATAGTTTTTTTGTTTTCTTCATAATTTTTATCCCAGGTGTAAAATTTAGCTAAATAATCTGAATAATCAAAACATCTTTATAAGATTGTATTATTGTCTGCCCTGGCCTGCATGGCTCAGTTGGTTGAGCGTCCTCCCATGGACCGAGAGGTCACCAGTTCGATTCCAGGTCAGGGCACATGCCTGCGTTACAGGCTCAATCCCCAGTAGGGGGCATGCAGGAGGCAGCTGATCGATGCTCCTCTCTCTCCCTTCCTCTCCCTTTCTCGCTAAAATTAATAAAAACATATTTTTAAAAAGATTATATTGTCTTTCATGGAATTAGAAAGGTATTTGAAATAATAATTAAAAACTATAAAATACCATTTATATTTTGTTTTATTTTCATTTGGTATCCTGCTTTGAACTCTTCTCTGATCTCCTCAACCAGTTAACCCTCCTGTAACCTTCCCACACTGTTCTGTATGTTTGCATATGTACTTTTAGCCTCCTGTTCAGGTGTATATGTTTTTCTTGATAGATGGCAAGCAACTTGAAATCAAGTGTTAGCTTATCCTTGTTTGTCTCCCTCATATCACTCTGTTCATGATAGGCACCCAAAACATAGTGTACTGATTAATTTGGCACTCCAGGGCTTTACTTCTCATCAGTACAGTGATGAGTCCTAGCCTAACCTCTTCATTTTATCATACCACTTTAAAAATTCCAAACACCAATGAATGAGCCTTTTTAAACAATATGGCACTGAGACCAGATTGTATAGTCTTTCAATAGACTACATGTTAGCAAATACTTTTGAAGTTGTTCAGTCAGGTAACTCTAGTCAAATATAGTGAGCATGCATATTAATAACTTTTCTTTAAGGTACTCTACCTTTATCCTGTTCCATTAATTTTTTTTATAATAGCTTTAAAAAAATATATCTTTATTGATTTCAGAGAGAGGAAAGGAGAGGGAGAGAGAGAGATCAATGAAACATCAATGATGAGAGAGTCATTGATCGGCTGCCTCCTGCACGCCCCTGACGGGATCGAGCCTGCAACCCGGGCATGTTCCCTGATTGGGAATCGAACCCCGATCACCTGGATCCTAGGTCAACGCTCAACCACTGAGCTGCGCCTGGCCGGGCTCTCTTAATTTTTTTAAGATATCATGATTCACTTTACTTTAGTAGTAAACTCAGATGAGTTTTTCTGCCTTTCAGAAATATAATTTCCAGTTCTTGAACTTGACAATGAACAGGTAGTGGTAGACAACTAATTTAAATAAGGAAACAGGTCAGTGGTTTCTCTTTTAATTAAGTTGACTCTTTCCGAGGAATGCATGACAATAGTGAAAACATGTCACATCTGAGTTGTCATGCCTACCCAGCCTTAAAAATGATTTTCTGTCTCACCCTGACGCCTCACAACCTTGTTTCTTACTTTTCTCCTAACGTTGACTTTGCGTTCCAACCCAGCAAACCTGTTTTCTGTTTCTCACAGTTACTTGGTCTTTGTCAGTTTCTTTTGGTCATGCTGCTTTTTCATCTGCAGTACTCTCCCCCAACTTCCATGCTTCTACCCTCCCACTTTCAGAATGTGACTTAGCTTCTGTAGGCTTTAGAAATTTAATTTGAACAACCTCACCCTCACTCCGAGACTTTCATTTGCCCATCCTTTTGTATGTATTTTACACTGTATATTGCTTTTTGTTTATGCCATGCTTAGCTGCTTTTCCAGTATACTTCATCCGAACAGTATTGTAAGCAAACTGGGACTAAAATTCAGGTCTGTTTTCTTTCTGACCTCATGAGGTTTGGAGCAGCAAAAGTGCATAGTAGATGTTTAGAAACAGCCTGCTTTTTAGGGCAAGCCGCCTGCTTAGCTCTGCTGTTGCTCTGCATTCATAAATATGATTGGGATCATGAATTAAGCCAGTTCTGGGCTCCTTACCCAAGGAAGTTAAAA